GATTTTTTAAACAAATATATAAGTACTTGTTAAATTAATCATACTATTAAATAATTATTGATCTATTTTATATGTTGAGGTTTCATTTAAGATTATTTTGAAATAAGTTGCTGAGTTGTGAAAAATAATACATGAAACATGCTTCTCAGGAAATTATTTAAATTTGCCATAATAAAAAGATTTTTGTTAGATGGCCGTTTATTCATAGAACTTTGTTAGGCATTGTGTATATCTAAACATCATCACAGTTTTTTGGGAATTTTTATTATTTAAATATATTGGCATAATTGTATAGTTTCTTTCTTTTCATAAGGTAAGAAGTAGGGCGATTCTTAGAATCAGATACAGGCAGGAAGTTATTCAGGCAAAATAAAAAGGGAGAAAAGAGATGCCATTTGAACAACCAGACCCCTTGGCTCAGACTCTTCTCCTCATGGGGAGACATACATCACAGCCAGATCACAGTCCCAGAGATGAAAATTGATGGCCTACATCAAAAGTTTGCTATTAGCAGAACTAAGACTTGAATTTTCTTAAAATGATTTTGAAATGTTCCTGTAAATGACCAGTGAAGATATGAAATACTTGCAGCATAAGAACTGTTACTGCCTATGTTTCTGTGTGTGTGCATGTTTAGTGCAGGTGAAACCAGGAAGGGGATATTGAAAGACTAACTGGTGAGGCCATGAGGCACAATGGGACACAAGGGACACCAAGACCAGGGGTCTCGTTTCCAGGCCCAGGATTTTTTCTGAAACCTTACAGTCTTGGACAAATCACCCTGTGCCTTTTGATTTATAGAAGTTTCCTCATCTGTAAATTTAGGGGGGTTAAAATAATCACCTATAAAATAATTATCTGTAAAATTGAGAATAGGTTAAAATAATCATTTGTTATCTTGCAACTCTGAAAATACTACAAAAAGAAGAGTTTAAATCCTCTGGTGCTTTCCTTCCTGGTGTTCTCGTTATGGTGGTGGTGGTGGTGATGATATTTCATAGTAACTGTGGTATTTTTCCTAGTAAGTGTACCCCTTTCCTCTCTGCCCCTTTCTTTCACCTACTGAACACCTCTGCCATACTAATTTGATATTACTCATGAGATAATTGGAAGGACACTGTAGTTCTCAGGTATTTGGAAGGAGAAGAGGTATAGATGGTTGAAATCCACTAGCAATGTTCCTGGAGAGGAGGGGTACCTTTACAACCTGTTGGAACTTGAGAAGCAGGAAAGTAATGATTGGAAGAGTCATGTTTGCTTGGGGAGATGTGGACTGGGAATGTGGCATATTTGTTTTTATAAGCCAATATACTCTTCTGTTGAAAAACACCTAAAAGCTGGAACCAGGTGTTGCAGACAAGGATCTCTGCGCCTCTTCCATTCCCCTCAAGTAGAGAGAGAGAGCTCTTTAGCTGACCTGCAGAGAGCTCTACAGAGCACTGCGGACTCTGCTATCATCTTTTCTCAGAGAGCCTGAGTGCACTTCCAGCTCTTCCTTTGTGTATGTATGAGAGATTCTTTTCAAGAAAGTTCCTGGAGACACATACCATAGTGTGAACATGCATGTGCACATATCATCATCACCATCACCACCACCATAACCATAACCCCAGGAAGGAAAGCACCAGAGGATTTAAACTTTTCTTTTTGTTTAAATGCAAGAGAGACAGACAGAATGAACCATGGGATATCACCAAAGCGCCTAGGTAATTCATTTGCTAAATGAATGAGTTTCCTTTATTGGAAATATTTACCGAAGAAGTCTTTCTTAAAATTGCCTGTGGGTTGTAAAGTAGGACAACTGGATTCTAGGACCAATGACAAAATAAACATAGATGTTGGTACCATTAATTGATGCTTACATTGGGTCAGACTTCATTCTTAGTGTTTTTCTTAGATTTAAACCTCACAACAACCCTAGGGAATAGGCTTGATTATTAGCTCCATTTTACAGATGAAAAGACTAAGGCATAGAGAAATTTTGCTTACTTCCTGAGATGGTATAGAGGCAGAACTCTAGCTTTTGCATGGATATTCGTAACCACCAGGTAATACTACTGCCCATAGCAGAGGGGCAGCCTCCTGAAACCAGAAAGTCCATGGGAAAATATGTGAGGGTGGGGAGCTGAGCTGCTCATAGAGGCAATGGCTGCACAGAGGCCAGTAATTTCCCTGGTGCCACTGTGGCCTAGTCTGTTCTCACACTAATATAAAGAAATACCTAAACCTGGGTAATTTAGAAAGAAAATAAGTTTAATTGATTCACAGTTCTACGTGGGTGGGGAGGCCTCAGGAAACCAGTTATCGCGGTAGAAGGTGAAGGGAAAACACGCTCGAGCCTTCTCACATGGTGGCGGGAGAGGGACATGCAAGCGGGGAAATGCCGACGGTTATAAAACCATCACGTCTCATGAGACTCGCTCACTGTCATGAGGACAACATGAAGCAACCTGCTCCCATGATCCACTCACCTCCTACCAGGCCCTTCCCTGGGCACATGGGAGTCATGGGGATTAAAATTTAAGATGAGATTTAGGTGGGGACACGGCCAAACTATATCACACTGGTAAGTCCCTCTTCTGAAAGACTTGTCTCTCTCTCTCTCTCTCTCTCTCTCTCTCTGTGTGTGTGTGTGTGTGTGTGTGTGTGTGTGTGTGTGTGTGTGTATGTAGATTTCTCACTTCTCTTAGAGGAGGTATGCTTGTTAGGACAGGATCTCTCTCTCTTGCCCAGGAAGGAGTTCAGTGGCAGGATCATGGCTCACTGGAGCCTTGACCTCCCAGGCTCAATTGATCCTTCCACTTCAGCCTCCTGAGTAGCTGGGACTACAAGCAGGCACCACTACACTTGGCTAATCTTTGTATTTTTTCTCTTTTTTTGTAGAGATGGGGTCTCCCTGTGTTGCCTAGGCCTGTCTAGAACTCCTGGGCTTAAGTGCTTAGCCCACCTTAGCCTCCACAGTGCTGGGATTACAGGCCAGTGTGCCTGGCCTGCAGTCGACATTTCTGTTGGATTCCTAGACTTCTCATGGCACCGAATGAATCAAAAGATTTTCTGTAATTTTCCCTCCCCTCAAAGGTATCCTTAACCTGATTCTGAAAAAAAGGCTGTAGCATTTTTATAAAGAACAGGGGAGCTTTTCCTGAAATGGCTTTGTGATGGAGGTGGCATGTGCCAATCAGTGTGACAGGGAGCTTCTCTCGGGGTGTATCAGAAAGGAGACTAGAAAGGTGGAAGGTGTAGAGTGAAGAGACAGTTGCTGTGGTTTGTGGGAGGCAGTTTTCACTCAGTTGAGAGATGCGGTACCTCCACGTTGGGGGTCAAATTGTGTGAAACCTGAATGCCCAGGAGGCAATGCCTGGATTCGTGAGACTACCTGAAGGTGAGACTAGTCCCCCCTTCATCCTGCAGCTGTGGGTGTACATGAGCTCCTGGATGTCAGCTTTCTTGGAGGCTTTGTCCTCCCTAACTCTGTCCATAACAATAGGGATGTTTCCTGGTCATCTCAACGTTATGCCTTTGGGTTGCTTTGGCTGTCACTTGTCACTGCTACTGGGACATGTGTCCAGCCCCTCCATGATAGTGAAAATAATCATTTATGTCTTATTGGTGTTGTAAAATTTCTCTTTGTGCCATAGAAGTGACCTTGGACCAGTTCATTAAAATAATATCCTTGGCTTCTTGGAGATTTTGTCTCATGCTCATTTGCATCTTAGAGTTTGCTTTCCATTATATGCCAACATCTACTTGCTATTATTATTTGCACTTAGACTGGCTTTCTCCTCCCTTCGTCTTTGGGGTGCTGCTGGTACACGCTCCCAGCCCCCATCTTCCCATTTACATGATGCCAGGATTTCAGTTAGAGGTCGAAGCAAAGCATATTGAGGGAGGTTATGAGTTGTTTTTGAAACCTACAACACTAGATTCCAAAGCCTGGTATAACTAATATATATCTTTTTTTCCCTGTGCTCTACTGATCTCCATTGTGTATTTCACTGTTCTTCCCCTTTGTTGTTGAAATTGATAGTTTTCTTTTCTTTGATTTCCTGTTTTACACTTAGGGAGTGAAACTGACTCTTTGAAGCCCTTGATGTCATCAGTTTCCTTTGGGCAGACTGCCACATTAATATTTCTTTTCTTTTTTTTTTTAAACCAACTCACACTGCAAATTATGTTAATTAATTAATTAGTTAATTAATTAATTTATTTATTTTTGAGACAGGGTCTCACCCTGTCACCCCAGTTGGAGTGCAGTGGTGCGATCACAGCTTACTGCAACCTCCACCGCCTAGGATCAAGGAATCCTCCTGCCTCAGCCTCCTGAATAGCTGGGACTATAGGCATATGCCACCATGCCTGGATAATTTTTGCTTTTGTTGTAGTCAGGTTTTGCCATGGTTCCCAGGAGCCTGGGAACCTCCACCTCCCAAAATCATCCTCCTGCCTCAGCCTCCCAAAGTGCTGGGATTACACACGTGAACCACCATGCCCGGTCCAAGTTCATATTTCTAAACTTTTATTACATGCTGAATCCATCTGACAGGGTAGAGTACTGTGAACCTCAGAATATTGTTTGAATTCAAACTCTTAATTATAAAACGTGATGAATTTAGGTGATGATTAAAAACAAAGACCTATGAAGAATAGTTTTACATCATCTTGCTTGGGTGAAACTCAGTTTCAGACTGGAATGCCCATGTCTTTTTATTTATTCCCTATAGATCAAGAGAGCCACTTAATGCCTTACACTTACCATAGTCCTGTACACACACCCCCCACTTATGTGTTAGCTTTCTCACCAATCTCACAGGTGTATTTGTTGACATCTTGAATGCCTCTTTGTACTCCAAGTTCCAAGGAAAGTTGTGCTAAACATATCCTTAGAAGGAAGATGCTTTGGAAGATGCATTATTTCATTTTCTTTGTTCTTGAAATTTTTATAAACTCTAATTTTTTGGGATCTATTGAAAATAAAACTGCTCTCTTTTTGTATTTTGTAGAAACTACCTCTTCAGGTTACAGCTTGAGGATCTGTCTCTTATCCAGGTAGGTGCAACTTATTTTTCTCAAGCTTTTGTTTTCCATCCCAATTAACTCACTGTTTCAGGGGATGAAGAAAGATGCGTGTAAAGGTGTTAATCCAGGCTGAGCAGGGGCTCATTTCCTCAGCGGGTCAGGCTGCAGGACCAAGGCTGCCCTACTTGTTAAGAGTCATCACCTCCCTTAATTCCCAATTAGCCTCCTCCTCCTCCTGACAGGTGACCCTCTGTGTTCCATGGATGTGATCTTGATTTATTCTTCCTTAGATGAGATACCATTCACGGAACATTACCTCAAAGCCTGGGCACATTCCTTTTTCCACAGTTACGGCAATCTTCAGTTATTCAGTTTGATGCATTCAGGCACATTATATTCTTGTAAAACAGTTTTGTTTTCTCTTTATAATTATTTTAACATAAAAGTGAATACATGGGTTAAAAGCTACCTATAGCAAAGACTGAAAGGTAATAGATCAAAATGCAATTTACCTACTTGTATTGTTGCAGTTTGGACAACGGGCCTGAGATCCTGTGCTTGAATAAAGTATTTATTTCAGTAGCAGATCTGAGTCACAAAAGCCTGGTCTTCCCTCTACACTTTAAAAAGGGCCTCCTAGAGAATGAGAGATTTAAGACATAAACACCTTCTTCACCAAGATTCTGAAACTCCCTATGGACTATGCCAGAATCTTGGGCCTGTGTAGAATTTGGAAAAAGTTCTTCAACCAATTTTAGTCTCACTCTCTTGTACTAGAGCTCTAAGAGGTGATTGGGGAGGATTTTATATTATTTTATTCTCTCTTTAGTGCTGCTATTTGCAAACATTTGGGGAACTTCAGAGCTAGGTTATAATATTAGATCTATCTATAATTCAGCAGGGCCTTAATATCACCCAATCTCACAGTCAAAATTAGTACTGACAAAAAGCAAGGGCCTTGAAGACACATTGACCTGACTTGTGATCTAGTTTCATGACTTCTAGTAATTATTGGTTCCTCATCTGTGAAATGGCCACAAGTCACTACCAATTCCATATTAGCATGGTGAAAAATAAGTAAGACATTCAAGAGATAAAACATAGCAATTTATGAGCAATTTTTAAATATTTTTTCTTTTTAAAAGTGATAAAATAAATCTCCATTGTAATAATTTTATCACAATTGACAATAATGTCTTTCCACTGCAATTTAGTATATAACTGGAGTCTTTAATTGAGCTAATTGAGTGGTAAAATTATGAATTTATTTTTAAGGAATCAGAATGATCAGCAATTTGAAAACATTATCTTTAGTGAAATAAGCCAGGCATAGAAAGACAAATACTGCAAGATCTCACGTAGATGTGACATCTACAGAAGACAAACTCAGGAGCAGAGAGTGTACTCGGGGTTTCCAGGGGTCCAGAAGGTCAGGGAAGGTCTTAGGGAGATGTTGGTCAAAGGACAAATAGTTCCAGTTAGAAAAAAGAATAAGTTAAAGAGATCCACTGTATGACACGGTGACTATCGCTAATAACAATGTACTATATGCTTGAAAATTGCTGAGAGAGTACATTTCAAATCTACTTACCCCCAAAATAAATAAATAAATCAATAAATAAAGTATGTGAGATACCGGCATGTTAATTAGCTTGATTTAGCCATTCCACCATGTATACATATATCGAAGTCATGTTATACACCATCAACATATAAAATTCTTGCCAATTAAAAAAGAATGATCAACAGTTTAATGAAAATGCCATATTAAATATTGTTTAAGATAGTCTTTTATAAAGAGTATATCTTTTAGTAGATAGAAACTACATGTTACACTGGTTTTGCTTCTGATGGCATAATGTACTCTCTGGCATATCACATGTTAAATGAGCTGTGTAGATCTGTGTGTGCACAAATCTGTGTGTACACATTCATTTCCAAGTTTGCCAGTATGTCAGCTGAGAGGGTTTAGAAATGCTGTCTCAGTAGCAGTGACATACTTGACACACCTTACTCTGTTTCTAAACTTAGTTCTCCATGAAAACAAATGAGGGAGTTTTTGAGAAGAGACTTAATCAAGAGTTGGGCAGGGAAAACTCAGATAAGACTGGAAGAGCCTGTTGTTTCACAAATTAAGGAAAATATTAAAAGAATGATGAGAGTATGTCACAGGAAACTAGGAGCCAGCTCGAAGTAGATGCACCGAAGAAATCTGGGACAATTTGATTGTTAAAATAGGTAATACTAATAGCTGATTATAACACATTGAATAACATAAGAATCCATGAGTAGATACCAACATGAAACATAAATGAATGAATAAATAGGGCAGAAGGGACTGCTATTTCTTTTTGTAAAATGCCAACTAATAAGTATTGAAAGAATAATTTAATTAGAAGATTTGGCAACCATTATACTAGAAATTGATTAAGGCAAAAGTGATCAATGGATGCTAAAATTTATGAGTCAGAGTTTGATGACAACCAGGATATTTATTAACATACAGTCTTAAAAGAGATAAAACATGGAAATTTATCAATAATTTGTTATTGTTTTTGATGTTTAAGTGATAATAATAATTAATTTCCATTGCAATAGTTTTATAACAATTGACAATAAATTATCTTTCCACTGCAATTTAGTATATAACTGGAGTCTTTTTTTGAGCTAATTCAGTGGTAAAATTATGAATTTACCATAACTCATAATTACCTGTTGACATATAACTTAACTATGTGATACGTATTCATTACAACAGGAAAACTTACAACTTGTTAGTAAAGAAACCTAGCAAATAGCCCATAATGAAATAGTCAAAAGTCAAGGGTAACTTCACCAGCAATGGGACAGAGTCCAGTGATTTGATGCATGGAGAGTACAGCAAGATGTCCTTGATATTTCAGCCAAAAAACATAACAAAAATTATAACTAACAACCTTCTTATGAGGAACCATCAGAGCCACTGAGGACATCCTACAAAAAAGTGGCCTCTACCCTTCCGTTATCACAGAGTCATGAAAGGTATGCAAAGAATAAATAATAAAGAGCCATTCCATCATAAATTTGAACAAATAGACATGGGGATCAAATGCAATACTTGACCCAAATTGAATCTTGGAACAGATATATTTTTCCTTACTATAAAGGACATTACTGGAACAACTGGAAAAATTCAAATGTGTGGATAAGATGGCATAAATGTATTAATATTTGTTGATTTTGATAACTGTGATGTAGAAGAATGTCATTGTTTTTAGAAAAACATGCTAAAATATCTAGGGGTAATGGATATCATTTCTGCAACATATCAAAATGCTTTTAAAATTATTCTACAAATACATACACAGAAGCTATACATGTGTGCAGAGGGAAAAACAAAGCAATATGTGATACAGTGTTAACAGGGGCATCTAGGTTAAGGGCTTATGAGAGTCTGTTGTGATACTTTTGTAATTTTACAGACATTATGAACAAATAAATGGATGCAAAAAATAGGGAGATGTATTTCCATTAACTCATGTGTATATATTTTTGTGAGGTCAAGGAAACTTATCATACTTTTCTCAGCATTTCTTCCCTTTGTCATGGCTGTTTTCACTGGAAATCTGGTTGAGGTTATTGATGGGATTGATGAGCTATTATTGAAGTGTAGAAGCCCATCAGTGTCACTGCCGGGTGACAGTTTAGTCTACTGACATGGCACCACACAAGATGACAGCATCTTTCTGAACCATGGTTTTGAAAGTGCAGCTGTAATAACAGAGGTCAGACTGCTGTACCATTAGTGCAAATCAGTACAGTTCTGCTTTTTCATATTCTATGACTGTGTACGCGGTTATGTAGCCTACTGTTTACTTAGCCTGGAGAGAGGAAGCCGGCAATTCTTCATGACACATTTTTTTTTTTTAATATAGCATGTCTCCAGCAAAGAGGTCTTGTTGGTTTCTATGAATATTTTATTTTCATTTACATGGCAGTTCCAAAGGGTAACAAAAAGGAATAAGCACACTGGTAGACAAAGGCTGTTATCACACTGCCATCTGATAGAAGCACCATGTCAGCCAAATAGGTAATTTAAGATGATCTGCTAGGCATACTGACAAAAGTACAAAGACGCTAGGGAAATTACTACTAATAGTATATTTTACTACTTCTTTATATCCAAAATATATTTCAACTTCAGCATACAATCATTATAAAAAATTAATGATCTGTTGCACTTTATTTTTTTGGAACTCAGTGTTCAAACTCCAGTGTGTGTTTTATACTTCCAGCACATTTGGATATGGACTAGCCAGAGTTGAAGTGTTCCGGGTGGCTGGTACACTCCATTGGAAAGCAAAGTTTTAGATAATAAATGACAGAACATTTGATTTGTGCACCTTCAATTATTGCACAGAAAGATTGTTTCCTATCGCAAATCACAAGGGTTGATTTGTATCTCTCAGGTTAATATTTTTCTCCTTTTCTGACTCCAAAGTTAAAAATTATTGCTTAAATGTGGCAAAATGATAAAACTGAGATCAAGGAGGACAACCGATTTCAAGAACACTGGAGACAGTGAGAACTGAATGTGGTTCACCAGTAGCCTTTATTTATTTATTCATTAAATATTGTATTGTGTTTTAGGTTTTGGGTACATGTGAAGAACATGCAGGATTATTGCATAGGTACATACATGGCAATGTGGTTTGCTGCCTTCCTCCCCATCACCTATAGCTGGCATTTCTCCCCATGTTATCCCTCCCCAACTCCCCACCCACTGCCGTCCCTCCCCTAGTTCTCCTCATCACCTCACTGTGTAGTGCTCCCCTCCCTGTGTCCATGTGTTCTCATGGTTCAACATCCACCTATGAGTGAGAACATGCGGTGTTTGATTTTCTGTTCTTGTGTCAGTTTGCTGAGAATGATGGTTTCCAGGTTCATCCACGTTTAACACTAGACAAGGCTTCCTTGGGTCCTGCCCATCTGCGGGACAGAGGTCGACCTCCAGGTGGCGGTTTGCATTCCCTGTGTCTCTCCTCATCACC